GTCCTCCCGAATGCTAAGCAATGGTCTAGACCTCTAGGCCATGTAGTATTCGGATAGAATTATACGTACACCTGCAACAGATAGATATTTTCATATTTTTATTGCTTACAGCAGAATTGACAAATTTTCAAATCACTCAGTTAGAACAGATTATATGTCTATTAAGAAATATATATGTACATATTTGGTTGTATTAATGTCTTAAGATACAATAAAGATTTTAACAAAATTAACATTTTTTTTTAATTTGAACTATAATATTTTACAAACGGTACGCTGTACACAGTCTAAATATTCATTGTTAGTGCCTAACCAGTATATTTTGCAAAGGATATTGCATTAACATTAAATTCTATGTCATTCTATAGAGATCGTATTGTCAAATAGATTTAACATCTTTGTCTTTTCAACGGTTCGTTCAGCGGAAGCCAGAAGGCATAACCACCCCGGCCGCTGCCGAGACCGAGCCAAGGGTAGTTAACACCCTCTTCGGTGACGCGGCTGCACCGGGTGCGACCGCACGCCCGTGCCAGTCGCCGCAACCGTGGGTCCTCCTTGTCCTACGACCTAACGACGCGACCGACGCCAGACGCCCCGACGACGACGTCGCTTCGCGCGCCGACGCGTCGTGATGATAGAACACCCAAGGTGGCTAGAAGGAGGTTTCATTATTATGATGTAGTGCCGTTCCACCAAGTAGCTCGTAATTAGCAACAATGATATTACAGAAGAGTGATTTCTGTTTCATCATAGGCGTCCACTTATTCTTTTCTTTTAAAGCAAAATAAGGGAGCTTACACAGGTTAAGATTTGTGGAATCGGAACTACATAATTGAAATAAAATAATATAGCAAATAAATAACTTGTAAACAAACTAAAAATAGTTTAAGGGTCTTTTGCAGTTATTATGCTATATATGTCTCTACACACAACCAAAGATGAACGTTGCATTATTGGATACACAAACGCTTAAATACTGTCCCAGCGGCTTTCCGGAATACCCTTCGGATATAGTTGAAATTTAAAGAGGGACTATATAGACAACAACTGACCCTCTTCATCAATTGTCTTTACGTTCTGATACTTCAATGGTAGCAAAAAACAACAATAGCGAAGTGAGTGCTGTTGTGACCCTGTATCTCCTCCTGTTTCTTTTTTGTTCGAAGCTCTGAAATTAATTGAAAAAATGGCCATCAAACCCAAATATCGTAGATACTATTCTGAATTTTCCAGTGCTTTTATTTATTGAAACAGGTAGATATAAACATATATGTAATACTCCTATATTGCTAGTGAGTTCTGAAAACGGGAAAAGTACTGTATGTAGTTGTCTTTCTCAAGGAACGTCAAACCTTACACGCATGTCTGAAAATGGAGCATGCTCACAAGCGTGGTTCAGTTTTAGTGTCAGTTTTTAGACAGTTATAAGTTAAAAGTAATCATTGAATAATTTTAAAACTATAGGAACTTTCTTGAAGTGAAAACTTCTTTAGGGACGTTGGGCACTTTTTGGCAGGGGAAAATGTTATGGGTTCACGTCACCGACATGCTCATGACTGGCGCACGCGCAGCGGCCGTGTGTTGTGGGCGTTAGACGCTTTTTGGATGGGCGAAATCTAGTGCGTTCGCGTCATCAACATGCTTGTAGTAGTATATCTGTAGCTGTACAGCTACATTTTACGCGATACTCAAATATATTTATATATATTTTATACTTAATAAGATAAATTTCAATCAAATATTTTCATTTCTTACTTTAGTTACCATAAGCCTATTGTATGTTTTTTTGGAACACAATGAAATAATTGAAAGTACAAAAAGTCTAAGTATTGTTGAAATTAATGATGACGATGATGCAAACAATGTTAAAAATCAAGTACATTGAAATTTATGTAAATATTTGAATAATAAAAAACCATATAAACATGCATATAATTGATAACAGAATCATGTTGATAATTTTTATTCAAACACTGTGAAATTTCAAATTTTAATACTAAAAGTTTTAAGTTTTCACTTCTTCCGGCAGTCCCTATAACTGCCAATTTTCTTTTTTTTAATTTAATTACAATAAAATATTTTTATACGTATATATGTTACCGGTACTTTTTAATCTATGCATCGAAGACGCGATCATCATCATTACAGACAGTACAATTGTAGGGATAGGTAAACAGGGACAAAAGATTAGTATGCTTAGATTTGCAGATGTTATAGCAGTATTAGCATCTAGCAAGGAGGAGTTAGAGATAGTTTTAAATAAAATAGATAAAACAGTATTGCAAGAAAAGAAATAAAAGTGAAAAAAATACTAGTATGCAGGGGAATAAAAAGTAGGGAAAGAGTGAATATAGAGATAGGAGACGAAAAATTAGAAGAAGTGACCGATTTCAGGTATCTAGGACGGAAGGAGTAGTAGGCATAGACAGAGGATAGCGCAAGGTCGAGTCACCTTCAATAAGAAGAAGTCGCTTCTATGCTCGCGAACGGTTAATTTATAAATTTGAAAAGGGTTGTTAAAGGTGTATGTTTCGAGCACGGCGCTCTACGGATGCGAAACATGAACAGTGGGCGCGGCGGAAAAGAAAAGGTTAGAAGCGTTCGATGTGGTGTTACCGGCGAATAATGAGGATACCGTGAATAGAGAAGGTTAGAAATGAAAAGGTATTAGAAAGAGTAGGAGAACAGAGGACTCTATGGAAGTCAATAAGAAATAGGCGAAATAGGTCAGTAGGACACTTTCTCAGGCATAAAGGTCTAGTCAGAGACATATTAAAGGCAGAAACAGAAGTAAGAGGGTAGAGGTAGACCTAGATTTGATTACTGTTCGCAGATAGTTAAGGATATGTGTTATTCTAGTTTCAGGGAAATGCGAAGATTAACTCAGAATAGGAAAGAGTGGGAGTACGTGTCCAACCAGTCTTAGGACTGCAGACCTTATGATGATGATATGTTACCAGAAATGTATGAAATCCAGGAATTGTATACCTTCCTTAGAAATTGTATTCTTAGAAAATGTATACAATTCCGAGGCAATTTAGGAAATATATAAAATATTGTTTCACAGATTTTTTAGTACACACATATCCTTGGAAATGTATACAGTTTCTAGGAATTGTAAGAAATTCCGATATTGTACTAGGAAATATATAAATTTGATGCTTTTTGTGAATAAAATAGATAAAACACATTAGTAAACTGAGAATCAGAGTTATCTGTGAATACAATAAATCGCCTGACCGGATGACGCAATATCCTCCCCTTGCTCCGCTATCCCCGCGTACCCATTGATGTTTTGAATGTAATGCATTTCCGATTGCTATTTAGGAAATGTATAGATTTCCTAGGAAATGTGTCTAATATAATTTATTTTACACACTTCCTGTCGATTTTAGGAGTTATATACATTTCCTATATTTTATACAAAATACGGATTATACATGTTAACATATACAAATAATACAGAAATGAAAATTGTAAAAAAACAACGATCCAGAGTGGGATCGAACTCACGACCTTATGTTTCCTAGAGTCCGTAACTTCACAATAACCGCGAAGAGTCGAGATAGAGGTAGAGTCACATTTGTTGCAGAACTTATGGCATGATATTTTCACTTATTGATGCTAGGAGTATTACATTAAGGAGCAATATAGAAGTAATACAAATATGTATGTGTAAAAGTAAACGAAACATTAACTAAAAATACACAATTGTAACAACGAGTTATTCTGTATCGATCGCCTGCGGCATTCGTACTAACAGATCTTACGCGTATTATTAGTACTCTGCTTTTGTTGTTATAGTGGTCTATGCAAGTGTTATATTCATTGTTAAAGTGTTACCAATAAGGCTACTATTAACTAAGCAAATAGGCATCGATGGTCAATAATTGTTAGGTTCCAACTTATAAATATAGAAACTTACTTTATTTTTATGTTTTAACCGACGAAAAAAGGAGAACGTTCTTAAGTCGATGCGTATATTTCTTTTACATTTTTTTTTTGTGTATGACCACGCATAACTTTCTACAAACTAGTCCGTCAGTCAGTTTCTTATTCTGAGCATTTCCCTAAAACTAGAACAACTCACATCCTTAACTATTTCCGAAGAGTAATCTAATCTAGCTCTACCTCTACCCCTCTTAACTCCCGTTTCTGTCTCTAATATGTCTCTGACTAGACCTTCATGCCTAAGAAGGTGTCTAACCTCTCTCGCCTATTTCTTATTGACTTCCATAGAGGCCTCTGTTCTCCTATTGTTGATTTCTTTTTCGAATTTCTAAATTAACCGTTCGCGAGCATAGTAGTGACTTCTTTTTATTGAAGGCGACTCGACCCTGCGCTATCTGCTTTATATCCTTACTACTCCTTCCGTCCTGACTTACCTGACTTATCCGATATTGATTCTTCTATTATTTAAGAGGTTATAGGTACCTTGTAGTTGGTCCCTTTTAAATTAGAAAAGGATACATCCCTTAGGCCGAAAAAGAGGGAATTATTGATTTAACACCGCTTTAATTTTCATCTGCCCCACAACAAATTAAAAAATAAAAACGTTATTCTTACAAGAAATTGAACCAACGAAAATAGAAATTAAAAAGCGAAAATTAAAATAAACCTTTTTAGTCTTAGGAACTTTGCTCCTTAGTATACATAATTGGTTAATAATTAGGGCCATCCTATCTTCAGTAAAGTTGAAAATTTTTACAATTTTTTTTTCAAAACATTAGAACATGTCTCGCTTGTAAAACGCTCACATATAAAGTGAGCAAAAGACATGGCCTTTTTAAAAAACATTGTGGAAAGAAGGTGTGAGTCTCTATATTATTCTATTTAATATATTTACCAGTTTCCCTTACATTTTTCTTTATCGGAAGGGTTCGCATCTTAAGCTGCACGGATAACGTTGCGTTGGTCAATTAAAAGTTAATTTTTAATTGTTTTATAGTTTTGCCTGTAGATAAATTACGAAAATACTAATAATAGTTTTTTGTTTTCAGGGAAAAGCTTTACACTTACGATAATGATCTCGACCACCCCGCCACAAGTAGCAACGTACAATAAAGCTATAAAAGTGACAGTGGATGGGCCAAGAGAACCTAGATCAAAAACAAGTGAGTAATTTTTTAACATTGGATATATTTTCGGTACTCTAAAATCAGTAATAGATTGTGATTACGTTAACGACATAGATTATATTAATAAAAATATTAATGTTAGGAGCTAGGAACCTTAATATTAGGAATGCAGTTTATTATTCTGTCGACTGGTTCTGCTGCGGTTTCAATTCGAAATAGCGAAACATACAACTTATAGCCAATCACTATAAATAAATCAGATTATAAAATTAATAGTATTTATTACTGAATTTTTATTTACTTCATTCGTACAAACGCGTGGGTATTGCCTACAGTCCGATGTTAAATGTTAAAGTTGACGTCGCTGATACTTAGGATAAGGTCCATACTTAGGCCAAAATTGTAAGGGGGTGGGAACTATGAAGTCAACAAGGCAGCGCGTTGTATTTTATGCACTTTAATAAAGAAGATGTACAGGAAACAGTTCTCTCAAAATTGCTAGAAACGCTGTGATGTGTGAACTGTGACTTCATTCTATTGGAACCGTACTTCTCCCTCTTCAAGACTTCCACTAAACTGGTTTAACTTAGATCGAAACAGTTATGTAACAGTGGCGATTTGTAGTAACCGTTAGCCCATTTTATTAGGTCCCACACACCAAATTCACGGTTATATGAGGGTAGTATACTAGTCATTGCTGAAGTTCCTGAGGGTTTTTTACTGTCTAGTAGAGGAAATTTTGTTGCAATTACTGCAAATAAAAAAAAACTTTTGGGTATTTCATTCTCATCAGCCAGTAATGCTGGTGGGAGGACAGTCCCTCCGGACTACTCCGGAAGGTAGGACGGAAGGGCCCTCTTCGGCCTCCTTTCAGGAATCGTGGGAATGGGTGGGTGGTGGTTCGGGTGAGAATGATGAGTCGGACGGAACGAAGACAGAAGAGAATGAAAGATTATCTTTGGAATATTACTGCTCCAGCATTTGCCTAAGTGATTCAGGGAAACCACAGAAAAACTTGGATCGAAGCAGAAGGACCCAGAATCGAACTGACATCTTCCCGAATGCTAAGCAATGGTCTAAACCTCTAGGCTATGCCGCTGGGTGCTGCAAACGACACGTGTAAATCGATATCCCCACCCCGGTATTATTTTAATACATATATATATATATATCAGGGATGTAACGGAGGTAGTTTTATCGGAACCGAAGGCGGAGTCGGAGTTTTTAAATTTGCTTTATCGGAGTCGGAATCAGAGTCGAAGGCAGGGTCAGAAGTGGTGGCATGAGAGAGAATTTTTATTTAAGGACAAATAAATCATTATTTAGTCAAATTTTTTTCATTTCAATTTTCAATTATAAAATAAAACACAAACAATGAAAAAATAATTGACGATAGAGTGCTCAGTGCACGTAGTGGAAGTCGGGGGGGATTCCCCGCGCGACATTTATGAAGTTCATACTATAAACCTGCTCATAACAGTCGACATAGGCCGCCGCGCCGCCGCTATGTTATGTTTCGACCTCCGATTAAAACCTTCGATTTAAAAGTGTCGGAGCCGAAGTCGGAACCGAAGGTGTAATAATAATCGGAAGTTCCGACTTAACGGAACCGGAGTTGAAGCTCCGTAACATCCCTGATATATATATTCATTTTATTAATTTTTATTAACCGTTAACCTATGAACCAATTCAGTGGTTTGAAAACGCTCTATGGTCAAGGTATACAACTTGGTGCACATGCAGAAATTATGATTATAAATAAGTTTAGTGAGAAAGGAAGACGCATGCATTTGAAAACCTAATGTTAAGTTTAAACTCTAACTTTATAGTACCACAATATCGTTTGACTAGTATTTCGACAGATGAAAAGAAAAATGTTCTGTTATTTTGATATTCACCTTCTTATTGGAGTAGATTTTTTTAAAATACAGGTCTGACGCTGGAAGCTGGCGGAAATTTTAAAATGGCGTGGATGCGCGGTGGCAAAAGTAGGCAGTTTTAGGTATAAAGATTACAGCCCTCATTCTTCAGTATTGCTATCAGGGGCGTAGATTAAATATTTAAATATAGGGATCAGTGAGCAAGTAATAGACAGACAAACAGAAGAACTAATTGTTGATGTTGGTGACAGTGATAGAGATTCCCATGATGAGAGTGAATGTGAAAACTGACTATAAGACAAATGTAATAGGTTAATCTTTTCTTTTTGATAAGTCATGTTTTTACATTATTTTCTAGTACGCTACTGTCCTATCTGTATTAATACTATAATTTACGCCTACTGAAAGCTTATTTGTGTATCGGTTCCAAGTGACTTACCCAAATAGGTCATAAATGGGCAAGTACCTGCGCGACCGCTCGCCAGCTTCCTTCGTCAGACCTGTACGCTGCTAGAAATTTGGCCGCGTAGTATCATCAGATATCAGTAGGAGTAAAATGTTTTTTGCTATTCGACAAATTTTTTTCTGCAAGCAGTTAGCAGAGGGGAGAAGCACAGTTTAACACTTTTGTGTCACGTACGATTTTTGCTGGTCAGCTCCCTGTCGCCCGAACCTGCGATAAGAAACTTCATTACAAAAAAAAACAACTTAGGGCAACCATAACTTTGTTTGGCGGATTAAGTCAGTTTTCTTTTTCATTTCTGCTGTTCTTGCTAGAGAATATCCTGCTTGTTCAACTTTATTGTAATTTCGACTATATTTCTTATGATTATGTTTATGACTTAACCAGCTCCAACTACACAGCTGTTATGAGTACCTACCTGTAATAAATCTCTTTGACGTAATTTAATTTATAATAATAAAATTATTATGATGTAGTGCCGTTCCACCAAGTAGCTCGTAATTAGCAACAATGATATTACAGAAGAGTGATTTCTGTTTCATCATAGGCGTCCACTTATTCTTTTCTTTTAAAGCAAAATAAGGGAGCTTACACAGGTTAAGATTTGTGGAATCGGAACTACATAATTGAAATAAAATAATATAGCAAATAAATAACTTGTAAACAAACTAAAAATAGTTTAAGGGTCTTTTGCAGTTATTATGCTGTATATGTCTTTACACACAACCAAAGATGAACGTTGCATTATTGGATACACAAACGCTTAAATACTGTCCCAGCGGCTTTCCGGAATACCCTTCGGATATAGTTGAAATTTAAAGAGGGACTATATAGACAACAACTGACCCTCTTCATCAATTGTCTTTACGTTCTGATACTTCAATGGTAGCAAAAAACAACAATAGCGAAGTGAGTGCTGTTGTGACCCTGTATCTCCTCCTGTTTCTTTTTTGTTCGAAGCTCTGAAATTAATTGAAAAAATGGCCATCAAACCCAAATATCGTAGATACTATTCTGAATTTTCCAGTGCTTTTATTTATTGAAACAGGTAGATATAAACATATATGTAATACTCCTATATTGCTAGTGAGTTCTGAAAACGGGAAAAGTACTGTATGTAGTTGTCTTTCTCAAGGAACGTCAAACCTTACACGCATGTCTGAAAATGGAGCATGCTCACAAGCGTGGTTCAGTTTTAGTGTCAGTTTTTAGACAGTTATAAGTTAAAAGTAATCATTGAATAATTTTAAAACTATAGGAACTTTCTTGAAGTGAAAACTTCTTTAGGGACGTTGGGCACNTCCATACTTTCGAGCAGATTAAAAAATAATAAATTAACTTTATAATTTTAATATTAGGAAGGGAGTCAGACAGGGATACACACTGTCACCGTTACTTGTTAATATACAAAACAAGACGCGATCAACATCATTAAAGACAGTACAACTGTAGGGGTAGATATACAGAGACAAAAGATTAGTATGCTTAGATTTGCAATTGATATAGCACTACTAACATCTAGCGAGGAGGACTTAGAGATAGTTTTAAATAGAATAGATGCGGTACTGACAAAACAGTACTGTATGAAAATAAATAAAAGTAAAACAAAAATACTGGTATGTAAAGGAAGAAAAAATAGGGAAAGAGCAAATATAAGGATAGATGACGGAAAATTAGAAGAAGTGGCTGATTTTAGGTATCTGGGAAGCCAGAATATAAAGAAGTCATTTCTATGCTCGCAAACGGTTAATTTAGACATTCAAAAAAGGCTGTGTTGTACTGTAGATAGGGAAGGTTAGAAATGAAGAGGTATTAGAAAGAAAAGAGAATCAGAAGACTCTATGGAAGTCAATAAGAAATAGGTGAAATAGGTTAGTAGAACACCTTCTCAGGCATGAAGGTCTAGTCAGAGAAATATTAGAGGCAGAAACGGAAGTTACGAGGGGTAGATGTAGATCTAGATTAGATTACTGTTCGCAAATAGTTAAGGATATGGATTGTTCTAGTTTTAGGAAATGCGAAGATTAGCTTAGAATATGAAGGAGTGAAGGTGCATGTCTAACCAGTCTTAGGACTGAAGACCTTATGATGATCTAATTTATAAAATTACTTACACAATTTTGTCAATATACATAATATCTACAGCCATAATGCAGTACAATATTTATTCTCTCTACTTCAATTTCCATTCAAAATAAATTACGAGATTACATAGAAATATATATATCTAATACTTTTCAAAGCATTTGTTGTCTTTAGCATTCTCTCGAACAGAGGGACACAAATTAAGTGACTTGTTCGTACCTACTTCTCTTTCTCTTGCTTGTAAGAGAGAACGCCGCGTTAATTTTAATCGAACAAACGGTAGGTAATTCGGAAAGTTCTCATCAGCACTCCTAGTAAAAAGAAAGAGCGTCCGACAAATTTCCCCAATTTCCCGGTTTTCCGTCGTGTATCCCGCATCGAGTGGAAAGAGGGAGAGGGAAGGCCGAAAGAAGAAACCTGCCTACAGCAAGTGTTCCTGGTCTCACCCTAATCTAATGCACGTCAGGGCCAGCGCTAGGGAAGTGTCCAGCTGTCCTCAAATCGGTTGAGTGCACCTAAATTGCACCGTACACTCACACACAACTTATAAAACGAACCGCAGTTCTAAGCAATCGACTGTTTCAAAAAGGAACAGAGGGCATTAAAAA